GGTGTTTAGGTTGAACATAAAGAACACCTTTTATTTGAAGCTTCTTGTAGCTACTGTTTTAATCCCGGCTTTACTTAAAACGTTTTCCTGACTTTGATAGTGTTGCCATTCAGTAGCAAGCACTGCGCCCCTTTTTCTTTTATATGTACACGTACATTTAAGATTTAGCGTGTTAAGTTGACAACTCATGAGCAAGCTGCTTTTTGCAATCTAGCAGGAAGGTAAGGATAGGATCTTGCAGGTGTGACGTCACTCTGCAGGGGGTCCAAAGATAAAAGATTTAAACAATTTTGGCATTGGAATTTCAGATTTAAGGGAGTTGGAAAGTTCACTTAGTAAAAGTGCAAATAATAAATCTGATTACCGATTACTTTTAAGCTGGTTGAACATACTGCGACAGACTGGTGACCTGTCCAGGGTGACCCCACCTCTCACCCAGAACGTGGCTAGAGATATGCACCAGCACCTCCTGATTCCACTGAGGGATAAGGTTAAAGAAAATGGATGGTTGAACATAGTCCGCTCTCCCAGATTCTATCAAATCAGTATTGATACCCATACCCTGCTGGTGGATGTTCTTGACAGAAAGACGGAGTTGCTTAATCATATTCTGCTTAAGGCCCCATAAGATCTTGTCCGAGTCCTGGTTTAAAAGTAAATTAATTTTAAAAAGTGACCCAAAATTGACTGTCAATAAATGTTCTACAAAATTGATATATTTATTTGATTTGTACTGTCTGTTTAGATTTATGTGATATTTTTTGCACAAAATATATAAGTGAATATTGTAACAGTTATGTTTTCAACTGTAAGCATTAAATTGATAAATGTTATTCGCATTTTTTTGGCTTTATCCTTTCCAACAAAAAAAAAAGGCGTCGCGCAGGTAGCTCCCTTTCCTTATGAGCCGTCCCCACCAACTTTCAACACAAAGTTACACCCTTGTGCTCCATTGTTAGAAAAACACATAAAAAAAACAATGTTATAGTATTACATGATTTAAAAAACAACAACATGTTACTGACCTTTCTAGTTTGAGCTGAAAAGCTGCCACTTGATCACGCTTTGACATTTACAGAAAGTTTCTCAAACTGAAACCCTATTTCCAGCCCTGAGAATTGTCCTTTGTTCAGGCATTGAAGCCTTTGTTTATTATATGGAATTTACAGTTTATGTGGATGAATGGTATAAAAAGCACACCCTAACCCCAAGCCTGTGTTGGAAACACACACTCTTATCTCTCTGTACTTATTTTCCACGGACAGACTGGATCGTGTGACACTTCATCCAGCAAAGCACAATAGTGACTGCCGGCAGCCATTTTGGGGCAAAAGAGTTGACCCAGAAGACATGGACAAGCTGACCCAAAAAGTTGGGTTGTTTTTCTGATCTCGGTGGGAAAATTGATACAAGAAAGTGCCCCACACTCTCAGATGTTGAATTACATTAGTGACACAATAGGTACAATGGACAGAGCTATAAAAGAAACAAGAATGGGTGAGACTAGGTTAAAAAATTCTGTGTCGTAGGGAAATCATATTTAATTGTCAAATCATTCTGGCTTAAACATGTATATACACTCACCGGCCACTTTATTAGGTACACCTGTCCAGCTGCTTGTTAACACTTAATTTCTAAGCAGCCAATCACATGGCGGCAAATCAGTGCATTTAGGCATGTAGACATGGTCAAGACAATCTCCTGCAGTTCAAACCGAGCATCAGTATGGGGAAGAAAGGTGATCTGAGTGACTTTGAACGTGGCATGATTGTTGGTGCCAGAAGGGCTGGTCTGAGTATTTCAGAAACTGCTGATCTACTGGGATTTTCACACACAACCATATCTAGGGTTTACAGAGAATGGTCCGAAAAAGAAAAAGCATCCAGTGAGCGGCAGTTCTGTGGGCGGAAATGCCTTGTTGATGCCAGAGGTCAGAGGAGAATGGCCAGACTGGTTGGAGCTGATAGAAGGGCAACAGTGACTCAAATAACCACCCATTACAACCAAGGTGGGCAGAAGAGCATCTCTGAACGCACAGTACGTCGAACTTTGAGGCAGATGGGCTACAGCAGCAGAAGACCACACCGGGTGCCACTCCTTTCAGCTAAGAACAGGAAACTGAGGCTACAATTTGCACAAGCTCATCGAAATTGGACAATAGAAGATTGGAAAAACGTTGCCTGGTCTGAGAGTCTCGATTTCTGCTGCGACATTCGGATGGTAGGGTCAGAATTTGGCGTCTACAACATGAAAGCATGGATCCATCCTGCCTTGTATCAACTGTTCAGGCTGGTGGTGGTGGTGTCATGGTGTGGGGAATATTTTCTTGGCACTCTTTGGGCCCCTTGGTGAAAGTAAAAGTGCACTGTCGTAAATATGCTAAGCTGTTCTACTGGTTTCTCCGTCAAGCCAGGCGCGGTTGTTTTGAGCTTAGCAGACAGGCGAACGCAACAAATCACCATGTCTACTGCCGTAAGTGACTATTTTGATCCAATTTTTGAGTTTGAAAATTTAGCATGTTTTCATACATTATTTGTTATGCATGTGTCTAAATAACAAAGATTGTAGTTAGCCATGTTCTCGTGGTAAAGCAAGACAGACTCTCGCGATCCACGACACTTCTGGGCCAAGGGCTCCTGCAATTGCAAGTATGGGATTTCCCCTACAGACCACCAGGGCGGCCGAGAAAACCTTTGTTCGACCTGAAATGACTCATTTAATCATCCAAAACGTTATGGAACACATTAATTAACTGAAAGATGTTGCATAGTATTCCTTTAAAATAAGGAACATTTACTTTACCATTGAGGTATGTCCCAGTGTTTCCTGGGATGGAGGTCTGTGTCTTCGGCAGGCGTAGAGCTAACAGAACTGGCAGCGTTGCGAGGCAAGGGCTCAAACATGTACGGCTGTAAGCCTTCTACACCAAACGAAGCTTCTGCCGCCCTGGCATCCTCTTCCACAACATCTTCGTCCCTGCTTTCTTCCTCTAAATAAAAAATGTATGACGGAGGACACTCATCCACGACCTTCGACACAAAACACTCCTCCTCTTGCATCAGCTGTCCATAGCATTCCTTGACAGAGTCGTTTCTAAGTCACCAATTTTGTGCTACACGGTCCCAATGTAATTTCCCATTGGGAACCTACTTGAACTAAATAATCGCTAACTGGTTCTTAAGATGCTTATGATAAACCGGTCACAGTCAAACTTGCTTGCAAACCTTCCACGGTCGTTTCCCTACGACTTTAAAAGAGAAGCTTTTTATTTGTGTATCCATAACAACGGGGCGAAAGCTAAGCCTATAGCAACATTTTGATGTAAAATAGATTTTCTTTGAGTAGATGTGCAGTTTCGAGTTTCGGTTTTATATAGAATAAAATGGCTTCAGGACAGTATGTTTATTTAACTTCAATTAAGACAAAAGAAAAACTTCATGGTTGAGAAGGAAAAACTCTTATTTTTCTTGTATCCATTTTTGGAAGTGATGCTTTCTCTGTCATCACTGTATGATGAGTCAGCTACCACTGCTCCACATGTACATTTGAATTAGAACAGAAGTGTAAAACTTTGATAGGGGTTCCTGATGATTTAAAAAAAAAAAAATGCTCATCTGTCTTTATCATTTTCTTAGATTTAAATACATGTTTCCACAACTAACAGCTTACTGTCTATAAAGAAACTGATCGTACATTGTCAGCAGGTGTTTTTTTTGTGGTGGACTTAAAAGATTCGATGGAATTAACTGTAATGCTTGGATGAACCAAGAACTGAAGATTTGCTTGTCTTCAGATTGTAGAGAGGATAAAAGTTTGTGTGTTTAATATTTAATCTAAACACCTCTGAGGGAGATATAGCATTTATTTTTTATTTGACTGTAACCTACTGACAACCACTATATTGTCTTGGCAAAGCCAATTAATGGTGATGCCCATCTGCATGAGAAACCTGACAATGGCATTGCACAGAATAAATCACTGTTGTCTTTTATTTTATTTTAATCTTTTTTATTACTTCTGGCTTTAGAAGCTTCCACGTCAGTCAGATTTACATTGATGCACAAACACAAGAGTGAGGCTGACTAAGGAACCACATTTGTAACTTTAAAGCAAAATGCATCATGTCATTATGTCAGCCGGTACACCTGAGGGCAAAGATTTCTTAGTCAGTCTTATCAGTCTGTGCTTTGTCCATTAATCTAACCAACATGTTGGTGAATGTTTCTTTTAATTGATGTTTAGGGTTTCTCTGATTCACTACAACATCTTTGCATACTTTGTTCTCTTTCTCGGAAGACATAGATTCAGTCTCTTCCTTTTTTTTACCTTGTCCTCTGCCTCATCTTACTGTACCTACCACCTATCTTACTCGGCACCTCAGAACACAGTCTCCAGCTGTAAAACCTCCTATATAAGTTGTATCTTTTACAGATTTGATAAACCATGATTTACAGCCTCTGTTTACCAAAACCATCTGCGTACCCTTCGCCTTGTTCTCCAGCTGCGTACCATGGAAACAAAATGATGCATTCTTTATACAGATACATTGTAAATCTGATAATATTTTATTGGTATGTTTGAGTTGTGAAAGCATTACTGATAAATTAGGTGAGTTCAGAACTAGATATTAGCAGATGCAGCAAACAGATCAGTGATGAAGATTTGGGAGACTGATGGGTTAAATAATGGACCCATACACTGCTCTAAAAATATGGTAAAACATATGGTCTTACAAGATTCAACATTTTGTATGTCTTTTATATTAGAGGTCTAGTGTAAACTAGAAACTGGATGTAAGGATTTTTAATAAGATGAACTCAAGACAAATCATAGATAATGTATATAGAACTATAGAGGCATATATGTTTATGCTGAATACATTTAAGGAATTTGTGGATGTATTTTCTGTAACAGAAGGAAACCAATGTAACTGAGGTTTTGATAGTGCCTGTTATTTTCTGAAAATGAGATAGTTTGTCCTTTTTTCTGTACCATTGCAGATCTTATTGTCAAGCTGGCAAAGGACAAGTTTGGAGCCATTCAAACAGAATATAAAAAGGTGAGTGAGTGAGTGAGTGAGTGAGTGAGTGAGTGAGTGAGTGAGTGAGTGAGTGAGTGAGTGAGTGAGTGAGTGAGTGAGTGAGTGAGTGAGTGAGTGAGTGAGTGTGCAAGTTAGTTGGTAAATGAGTGAGTGAGTGATTCAGTGATTGACTGAGTGAGTCAGAGTGAGTCAGATCGTGAATGAGTCAGAGAGTAAGTGAGTGAGTCAATGACTGAGTGAGCTAGTTATTCAGTAAATGCGTGAGTGAGTCAGTGAGTGAACAAGTAAGTAAATTAATCAGTGAGTGAGTCAGAGAGTGAGAACGTGAGGGAAAGATTAAAAAATAAGTTAGTGAGCAAGAGATTAAGTCAGTGAGTCAATGAGTGAGTCAGTGATTGACTGAGTCAGTGAGTGAATGAGACAGTGAGGGAGTCTGCAAGTGAGTCAATAACTGAGTGAGAGAGTTAGTCAGTAAATGAGTGAGTGAGTCAGTGATTGACTCAGAGAGTGACTCATGTTTACTTAGTAACCTACTTAGTAAACGTGTGAGTGATTGAGTCGGTGGGTGAGTGAGTCGGTGAGTGAGTGAGTGACTCAAGGAGTGACAAAGTGAGTGAATCAGTGAGTGAGTGACTGAGTTAGAGAGTAAATTAGTCAGTAAGGGAGTCACTTAGTGAGTGAGTTAGTCGGTGGGTGAGTGAGTCATTCATTTATTCAGTCATTCAATCAGTGAGTCAGAGTCAGTCAGTCATTTTGGCACCTTGTCACCTTGTTTTAATGTATTTTTTTAAACTTCAAATAAACAGAAGCCCTGTACTTCTGAGCTACTCTGTGACATAAAACGTTTACTGTAAGGAGAGCTGCTCATATGGGTTTTAATATTAACTAGCTTTGTTTCCATACACTCTTTTTTATTACAGAGGAGATACAGCCTTTCTTCTGATAACCTAAATTAAGGATTTCTTGGATGCAGCCTTTCACATATAGACTTGTTATTCACATAATATACTCAGCATTCTGAAATTACATTTAGATAAACCCAAAAAGTGCTTTTTTCACTGTGTTTTGGTACATTATGTATTGGTGTCTTTGCATGCAGGCTTTGTTGTTTTTCTTTCTATTGGTCTTTTTCATATGTTTGTGTTTTGTGGCTTTGCTCTTTCTTTGATGCTGCACTGCCCGTGTCTACTGCATGTCCTCTTCATCTCGTCTGGCTTCACTCAGCCAGAGAATATAGTGCTGACCTTGCAGGTAAAGTCTGCACTCTGGACTTTCTGTCCAACCCATCTGTGGTCTAACTCCTCCTCTGTTAGTCAACAGGGTGGTACAACTACATCTGAGAAAGTCATTTTTCACTCTTTTTAAACGGTTATTTTACTAATTTAAAGTATATTTTGGTGAATTATGGTGATTAGTTGTGCAGCCCTGAGTCTTTCATGAAGCTGTCCCATTTTCCACCACCCCTTATCCCTCAGTTTGTCCTTCTGCTCTGCTTTAAAAGTATGTTCTCAGAGAAGGAGAAATGCTTTTTAGATCTCAGAAAGGACAACAGTGAGTAATGGAAAACCAAAACATTATAATTTGGATTTCACTTCATTATTGGTCATTCCAGAGCTTTTTAGTTTTAAATAGGTTGCATTTTATTATTTCTGAAATGCCTTAAGTCCGAAGCACCACCTCTTCCTCCCTGTTGGTTACAGTTTCATTGGTATTTTGTCACTACAGACTTTAAAGTTGTTGAGAAGACTAGATAACAACTTCAAAATATTATTGGCTTTGTTTGGATTGAATTAACTTTTTAATGTATGTGTAAAAAATAAAAGTATAACACCAGATTTTTTATGTTTTACATTATTGTGTATATACACTTGGAAACTTATGTAGTACTAAACTTTATTGTTCAATTAACCCATAACACCAAACTTATAAATACAACTTGTGATAGACTAGACCAAAATAGAATAGAGTAGAATAAATAGAATATAAATATCCTTTCACTATCCCTCTGTGGGGAAATGCAGGTGTATTGACTGCAAAATAACAGGCAAAGTGATAGAAAAAAGAGAAAAAACTAAACAAAAAACAGGCTGCACAGAAAGGGTACATTAAAGACATAAACATACGACAGTTATTAAAATATGATATTTTCATACATTTAGATGAGCAACTAAATATAAATGTATACACAATAATAATTGTGCTAAAAAAAACAAGTATTTTTCAAGAACAGAAAAAACTTCTAATAACAAAAGTGATGGAAACAGTTATTGCGCCTATTGGTAGCAGTGATAGTTAAAAAGTCTAAAAACTGCTGAGGAGATTGATTTATGATAATTGCGCTAACATGCAAACAGGATATAGCATGGTTTTTTTTGCAGAAGGAGCACTTTTGTTCTGCAGAAGTAATTATGTGTGAGTTGGGAGACATTTTTCAACAACTCTTCAGGGCTCCAATCTCCCTCCACCTTCATTGAGTCAATCGAGATGCCTGATGAACTCATCCATCTGCTCCATCTCAGCAGTATATAAGATATTTCAGGATAAAAGATTACCACCTGAAAGTCAAATAAGGTTTTCAGAAGTGCACCATTACTCAAAAAGATAAAATTTTCCTTAGCAAGTAGAGTCTGATCTGACCCATCTTATTATAGGAAGAGTCCCTGGATCCTTGGATGGGCTGGGTGTGTTTCTGCAGAAATCTGCCACCAATTCCATGTTTATTTATTTTTTTTGCACATAGATCAATCTAACCGGACATTTAACAAAGTCCTTTGAGTGACAGACATATTGTCCTAGTTTTATGATGATGTGCCATATTAATACTGCAAAGCCTTGCATTTGCACATTTTAATGTAGAAGGGAGATACTCACACAAATGGCATTGCACAAAAAATGTTGAGATAGGAAGCACTGGAAGCATAGAGAGGAAAGAGGTTAACAGGCATACATTGCAAGTGATGTAATCACAGTATAATTATTATTGCCAACACAAGTCCTTTTTTTTTTTGTAATGTAATGTAAGATTTTACATACTGCTCTGTTTTATATACTTTGTGGTCCTGTAGGCTAAAATGCCAATAATATGTTTTTTTGTTTTTTTTTTACATATGCTTGGCAGGTATTTCTAGAATATAGGTGGGTTTAGCCATGAAGAAGCTGTTTGTATTAATGCTGAAAAGGGTTTATTTTGGTAGACACAGACAGACTAATTCCATTTAATATTTTAGTTTATGTGCACACAGTACCATCTGCTGCCAGTGAGGCCCAAGAAACCAGCAGGGACTTGCATTGCAGACATGCATTGCTTTCTACATAAAAAGTTAGATTAATTCTACTGTGTTTGGACTAAGTTATTTTTTTATGTTTCCTCTACATAGGCATACTGTCTGAGTAATATTTCCACATAATAATGAGACTTGTATTTCCAAAGCACACTTTAGTGCACAGAACCAACTCCAGATTGAACATTAATATACCAATAATTTATTAAATATTTTTAAAGTTTCTTAGTCAAAAGGCAAAATGAGGACTTAGGAATTTATTCGAGTGGGGATGAAATTAGTTTTTTACTGTGTTAAACATGGGACGATGTTTTATTCTTATTGGTTCACTGTTCAGGCGCCTATGGCCACAACAACAAATTAAGCTGAAATAGAAAAAAGAGGTTGAAACAAAAGGCTTCTCCATTAGGGGACTCACACCATGGTGTATCTCAAGTAATGGCTTTAAGGTATTAAGCTTAGACTCACAGTAGGCAGGTTATTTGCATGTCTAATGGCTGCTGCTGGCATTAGATTTAATCAAATCTACATCATCTTAATCTGTCAGACATGCTGCCAGCCTATCATTCACTGTGTTCCTTTTAGAAGGGCACCTTTTTACTTTGGGCATGTGCCAAGTCAAAACTGATGTCCAGAAATAGTAAACGCTGCAGGCACTCACAGAATTCAAAGAAAAAAAACCCCCAAAACATATATACATGGTTGACCTTTTTTGTAACAGATAACCCAATACCAAGCAGTACCCAGAAGCATAATGACAATGGTTGACATTGGGGCTTTTAAATGACTCACATACATTAAAACTCATTTATGCTTCATTTCTTTTTCTCCTCTTCTGCCTACCGGCATTAATACTGTCCCATTTGCAGATATGGGTTTTGTAATCCTCCATATTTTAGTAGCTTTAGATTAAACAAAAAAAAAAAAAAAAGGATCAGACTTTACCTATCAAGCTCTTTTTACACTCCGGCTCCCACTTTGAAGGTGGATGATTGTGAATACATAAGATAACCCTTTTTACTCAAATATCTCTCAGAGAACCAAATAAAATTCCTGAACATGGTTCAGAAGCTACTTATTTTTTGGATAATAAGACATGGTTTGGATTAGTGAAGATCAGGACTAATGAGAAAAAAAAAAATGATGACGCCACATACATGTTAAAAAGTTACATTTGCTGGTAGGGATTAGACGCAGTGTTTTCAGTTTTGCCAAATAGAAATCCTTTGATGATTTTAGGTTTAAAAAGGTTAGACTGCTGTGAAGAGCCGAGGCGCATAACAAAAAAAGGCGGAAGATCCACATAGAATATTTTACGACCAGTTTAGCCGACGTCAATATTTATATTCAGCTGGAGTCCTAGATTACTGTGGGTCTATGTTGAGGGATTTCTACATTTCCTGCGTGAAAACATAAAGGACAAAATCCTAAACAATAAGGCTGAAGTAAAACAGCATTGCTCCTCTCCTGCTGTGAGTTAGATTAACAAGTATGTGCTGTTTTCTTGTTCTAAAATATCTTGAAGTATTAAACATAATAATGGTTTTAAAATCCCTAGAGTTTGTTGTCACAGCATTCATGTGGTTTAAGCTAATTTTAATGGCAGTTCTTTATTTTTTTCTACTGGTAGTTTATCATAGTTACATCAATTTCCTCAGGTGTTCCTGCATGCAGCAGCAGGGGCACATAGCAGAAAGCTGGGATTCCATCAACACCTTTCTGATTTGAGGACAACTTCCTCGCACACTAATCTAAAACCCTACATGCTAGATACAAGAAAATTAACTACACTTTTTTTGTATTGGAGTACAAGGGGTTGGTGATTGGGTAGTAAAAACCAGAGGCAGGTAATAAAATAACATAGGACAGCTCTTCTGAATTTGAATTTAATTGCATTAAAATGTTTTCCACTATTTGAGCCTGTCAGAATAAACAATAAATCTATCGATAATGTAAAAAAAAATGTCTTTCATTTTATATTTAATAGATTTCAATAATTTACGTATGCATGCTTAGTTGTTTTCCATTTGTACTTCTACTAGAGTCCGAATGACATAAGGTTTCACTCCAGAGTAGGGTTAACACAATTAATTGGATTAATCATGTTTAATCGTCAAATTATTCAGTAATCGATTCATTTTTAACTGGAGTATACAGACTATGACACATGCCTTTAGCTGAAAGAGGATTACGCAGAGAAGTAATTATGCAGATATTATTAAAATAATGTAAAAAAAAAAAAACATTTTGCATTTAAGATGAAAACCTTTGATGTCCTTTAATATTCATTATCCAAAACTCCTCAGCAGGCATATTTTCAGACTAGGTTAAAATTCTGCAATCAGTTACAGCCCTACTCCAGTGCATTGCTCATATTACATACCTCCCCTCGTTATTTCCTTAGCCTTCTGAGTGCAACATGAGAGTCTTATGACAAGGAGGTAGCAAGCCAGAGAAACGCTTGTGTCACAATTTGGTTATGGATTGTTGACCCAAAAGCAAAGGCAGGAAGGCAGAGGTCAATTTCTTGGTGATTTAATGAAGGTTTACTGAAAACAGAGGCAGATAATCCAAAAAGAAAACTAAATCCAAAATAACAGGAAACCACGAGTCAAAAAATACAACAATCAAAACAAGAAAACAAACCAGAAACCATGGAGACATCAGGGGGATAACTATCACAAGGTGGAAGGCTCAGAGAGACGGAGTTGGAGGAAGTTTGACGAGGAACCAGCACTGAAGAACTGCACAGAGAGAGTATTTATGGGAGACTGAAACAAAGGGAGAGCTAACGAGCAGATTAGGAGCAGGTGTGAGTAGAGCAGAAACAAGAAAGGGGCAAGGGAAAAAAGGAGAACTCAATAGGGCAGCAGAGGGCAACAAATAAAAATTTGAGAACTGAAAATAACCAGAAAACACAACAAAATAAGAATTAAACCACTAAGACTATAAAACATGGAGTAAAGCAAA